GGGATGTATTGCAGGGACAAGTCTATAATTTTGCCACTTTATAGATCATTGGTTCGACCTCATCTGGAGTACGCGGTCCAGTTCTGGTCACGAGTACTAAGAAAAGATGTCCTTGAGTTGGAAAAAGTCCAGCGAAGGGCAACCAAACTAATTAGGGGTATGGAGGACCAGAGCTACGAGACGAGGCTACTAAATTTAAACATGTTCACATTAGAGGTGAGGAGATTAAGGGGGGATATGATTTCCATGTACAAAATGTTTAATGGTGGTAGCAACATTAGCAATAAACTGTTTAAAATTAACTCCGTTACAAAAACTAGAGGCCATCACCTAAAATTGGTGGAAAAAAAATTCCAGCACAAGGGGCGAAGGGGGTTCTTCACAGTAAGATCAGTTAGGGTCTGGAACTCACTGCCACAGGCGGTGATTTCAGCAAATAATGTGGAATTGTTCAAGAAACTTTTGGACGATTTCTTAAGGGACCGTAATATACAGGGGTACAGGTAATATACAGGGGTACAGGTAATATACAGGGGTACAGGTAACATACAGGGGTACAGGTAATATACAGGGGTACAGGTAACATACAGGGGTACAGGTAATATACAGGGGTACGGGTACTCCTAGAATGAGATCCTAATAGGTTGGACTTGATGGACTAATGTCTTTATTCAACCTCAAATACTATGTAACTATGTAAAGCTGCAGCGGCGGATCCAAGGATATCTGGATCCGCCGCGTACACTCTAATGTCCCCCACAGTCTAATGTCTAACAGTCACATCAGTCTCTGTACCGAGGAGCTTACACTCTAATGTCCCCCCTACAGTCACATCAGTCTCTCTACAGAGGAGCTTACACTGGCCTAAAGCCATGTAGGGGGCCCTGAAATTTCTGATGGCTGCCCTGGTCATGCTGAATGGTGCATAATCAGTGGGGGTGCCTGGGAAGCTGCAAGGGAGCATAGCTGTGGCTTCCCAAGCTTCCCATCCAATCAGGAAGCCGGGTGGGTGGTCATGACCACCTGCCAGATTATCTGCTACATTACTGTATCCCTGCTGGAAGAGGAAAGGGACAATTGAAGAGATGGGAATCTGTGATGCCTCAGGTTGGTGTATGTATGAGCCTATGTCAGACACTACTACCTATTTACCTTACCTTTACTTTAAGTTGCTTGAAATATACAATATTCTGTGATCATAAGGAGTGAGAGTAAAGTAAGGGAATGTTTTGTCCTTCCTGCATCACACTGGTGCTATTATTATTAGTCATCAACCCCAATGGTCCTTTTAGGTACACCTTGACAGGCTGTGCCTAAATCTACTGAGAGGTCCTACATTCTGTAAAACTGTTATTGCCTCATTAACAAATTTGATAAATATACAAGTAAGCTAAGAAAGAACTTTGAATAAAACGGGGGCAGCAATATTTTTAAAATCAGCATTTTATCCCCATTTTATCTGTGCCAAACGTCAATAAAAGCAAATGTGAAATACCTTGTCACAATGACGTGATGTACATCTGCACACAATTTGCCTTCTGGTCTGGATCTCTTATAGAGCCAAAGTAAACATTGAAGGTGAAAAACAAGAGATATTGTTTATTTAGTTAATTTAATGACAATCATTTACAGGAAGAGGATCTACAAATGAATAACATGACTGTTCCAATCATCCTGCTCCTATAATTATGTTGATGGCAAAAGAAGCACCAAAAATACAATTTATATGTAAGTAGCTTTGGAAAGGAGGTGGAAACCTAAAAACATTTAACTCTGGTTGTTCTAGGAGTGGCCATCTAAAATGTTTATGACCCTCTACTGACAATAGGCAGGAGCTATAGCATAAGCTTTGCACTCGGGAGAGCTTACAATAAACACTTCCCGAGTCTCATTTCTTCTAAGTTGATTCCACTCAATTTGTCCACCATATAGAAATGATTTATGCTCAGTATCTATGCATCTTTCTCTTCTCTTTTGAACCTTCAAACCTCACCTTTCCCTAGCTACCCAAGATGCCCAGATACCCCTGGGACATCTGTATGCTTTATATTCATTTTAATATTGTTGGATTCAACAATATTAAAAGATAACTAAAGTTAGTTTGTCAACATCTGACCATAAACATTCAAGAATTGCTCATATTAGACTTTAAAGTGACATTAAACCCTCAGATTTTTTAACATAAACCAATACTGTAATGTGCGCCTTACTGTAATCCATGGTAGTTTCCCTTCTCTTTGCTACTCTTCCTTTTAAATCTGTATCTCTTCTCATGCTGGGGGAGAACTTCCCTTTGCAGCTGAGTGCCTCTTCCTGTAGTGCTGGCTCAGGTTGTGAACCTACACACAGATACCATATATCCATTCCAGAGACAAGGCAGTCTGCTGCAAAACAGAAGTTCTGCCCAGCATGAGAAGAGATAAGGACTTAAAAGGAAGAGCAGCAAAGAGAAGGGAAACGACCATGGATTACACTATTGTTTTATGTTAAAAAATCTGAGGGTTTAATGTCACTTTAAGGTTATCATCACACAAATTCAATGATCCAATCATGTTTTCTAAAAACCAGTCCAGTCCAGTCTTTAAACACCTTAACAACATCTGCTCTTGAACATGTAACAAATTCTGCTGTATTGCTGATACTCGCTCCATGGCTCCGAGCGCCAACAATCATCCCACGTTCAAAGGCTGTTAAATCGTGTTGTTTACCCATATGTTCAGAAAAAAAATCACTTCTACTGTCGTGGTAAACAACCTGCTTCCCTATTTATAATGGTCTGGCCCTCTAGCAACTTCAGCGCACAATTATAGCTAATTTGCCTACAAACGTCAGGTGGTCATAATAATCTAGCCACTCAGTGTGTGTATATATATATATATATATATATACAGGCCTCAAAATTTCCTCTCGCCCCCTCGCAATTGGCAAGTGGAATGTCAGCGATGGGGTGCACCACTGGCGGGACCAGGGATGGGATACTACCGCCGCGGCGATCGCTCGCTCCCTTCTGTTCTCTCTTCTCTTTTCGGCTGCTGCAGCTACAGAGCGGCCAGGCCCAAAAGGAGAAGAGAGAACAGAAGCGAACACTTGCCGTGGCGGTAGTGTTCCCTCCAGACCAGAGCCGCAACTAGCTCTCTGCGCTCCCTCTCTCTCGTCCCGGCCGCTGCAGCTTCAGCTCCACTCAGAGGGGTGGCTCTGATCACACCCGTTATCGCTCCCTCTTCTCTCCTCCTGGCCGCTCTGAAGCTGCAGCGGCCGGGAGAAGAGAGAGGGATCGCTGGCAGGTGTGATCATAGCTGCCTCTCTGAGTGCCCGCTTCGTGGAGCTGAAGCTGCAGCGGTCGGGAGGAGAGAGAGGGATCGCTCAGCGGTGTGATCAGAGCAGTCTTAAAGAGGCCCCCATCCCAGTCCACATCTTTTGGACGTTATTAATCTGAGTTGCCCCACTCAGTATGCCCCTCGCTTGTGGCCATATTGAATTGGGCACTCATATTAATAACGTGCTGGATTAGTCTGACCCAGGGGCGGCCTCTCTGATACCTTTGCAAACTCCCCCCGCCGCCGCAAGCACTTCATCTCTTCCCCTCTTGGCGCTTCAGCAGCAGAGCAGCCGAGAGGGGAGAGATTAAATGCTTACGGCAGTGGTAATTCAGCCTCACTGTAAAATTAACAAAAAGGAGGTTACAAAAGAATGTAAACCGAAGTTACCGTATCCTTGGGCAATGTCTTGGAATATGGGGATGTCAGGTCTCTCAGCAAACTCGTCAGCATGGTTGACCAGAGCGTCTTTCACCGTCTCATAGCCACACAGGATAACAATCTTTTGTGCCCCTATTTGTACACTGAACACTGACCCGTATTTCTTAGCCAGCTGCAAATAATACAAACATTCCAATTATATTGAGTTTATAATTCGAGATAAGTGAGTTAATGAATGCATCACCAATCTGCCATCTGATTGGCAAAACTGTAAATGTTGCTATAAATCAGGGTTCTCCAAGATACTTCAACATAATTACTAAGATAGTGGCCAACTCTCTTTGTGACAACTCAAGGACATCCCCAGGACATTTTTTTCATTATAGAAAATGTTAGAAGATTACACCACTGTCAGGACCGGATGCAGATACTTTGGTCGGATACTTTTGGTCTTTCCCATAAGGCAAGTGTGCTTACCAGTACAGGGATGACCCCAGGTCTTAGACTATATACTCTGGCTATAAATGTTGCAGGTGGCCCCAGGTGCAGGGCAGTAGTGCTGGTGGCGACAAAGTACAAGACATAAACAGAAAGCAAGATAGAAGACAGGAACAGGACTGAAGATACAAGACAGGACTAGGGTTAAAGATACATGGCAAGACTAGGATTCAAGATGAAGACAGGTATAGGATACAGGCTTCTGCAGACTGAACTAGACAGTGCTAGGCAGGACTATTACAAGCCCAGAGCTGAGCTTGTGATGCTTAATAAAGTGCCACTAACCAATCCCTAGGCTGAGGAGTGTATGGCCAGGATCATTAGCCACACAGCTGAATAGATGACTGGATTAGGTGCAGTGACAACGGGCAACCACCAGAATGATTTGGGAGGTTGTGACAGGCATAGGAGCATTAGACATGCCCCTAACAACTGCAAAAAAATAAAATAATTGAATGCATTTAATTACACTCCATACTACCCTGGCCAAAAAATAGACATGTAACCCCACTAAAATGTGTTTTGTTTCGTATCAATTCATATGTTTATCTCTTTTGTTTTTTTTGATTTTGGATCTCAAATTGAATTGTATCGTTATTGGGATTTAAGATCCATCTGAATTTTCATGTCGGAACAAAGCCACATGATCGTGCCTGTAATGCAACCCCCAACAACCCCCCAAAAAATCTGATTGGCCAGAGAACAGTCACAGGTCTAATTTAGTTTTGTTATAAATGACATTCGGATGGATCCAGATTTTCGTCAAAGGACCATTCGGATTTATTAGCATTCAGACTCAAATTTTGAAATTCGGATGCATCTGAATGTCAAAGTTTGAAGAAATTCATACCATTCAGAAAAACAAAAAACAAAACTTATAAGTGTTTTCAAAGAAATTTTGGCGATATCAAGGGAATCAACCCTTTGAGGCAAAATTGTCCATGGTCAGGTCACGTTCAAAGGCTCAATAGAAAGGTGCTCCTGGAATCATTTAAGAATGCTTGCAGTGAATGGAACATCAAATACTGGATGTGGTGTTAAAGGGATGTTCATTATAGTGCCTTTCTATCATTAAAAGAGAACTATGGGGTAAGTGTTTTCCCCCATAGTTCTCTTAAGGGTAACGGGAGGACATAAACTAACCTCCTCCTGTCACCCAAAGCTCAGTATATAGCGAGCTACAGCTTGCGGTATACTGAGACTGCCGCAGCCGGGACGGATCCTGACATTACTGTCGAGATCCACCCAGCTGCGTAAGTGACAGCTGGCTCGGCCTATTGTAGTGATATAATATATAGCAGACGTATAAATATATGTAAATACCCAAATATATATTTATGTGCGTTGTGAAAATCCAGGCAACCTCAATTCTTTTCCAGAGAGTAGCATTTAATTGGATCGAAGAAACAGATGAACAGGAACAGTCCAACAGAGTCATACAGAGTATAATATCTAGACCTCAGATGACAAAGGTTCCCACTCTATCTATCCAGCATATATCTCCAATCTATATATGCACCTCTGTGCCTCTCTTTATGACTCTTATGTTCTTCTCTTAGTCACTTTAGGCTCTCTTAATTCATATACAGTTTATTGCCATTCACTAACACTGAAAGGATTTCTGATTGGCTGATCTAATTACCCCTGGTCTAATTACCCCTTTGATGTTAGTTAACTAAACCTTTGTGTACAATCAACACCCTAAAAAAAGGATACACAATAAAAACCTAGTTAGCATAGTTAAATAACATCAGCCAAAAGAGTTTCCTGCAATACATAAGCATACACCCTAAATATACCCCTAATATATCTACTTCAATTATATTTACAACACCTATCTAGAGACAGAGCCAGCTGTGTCCGCCCCCTCCCCCGTCTGTTCCTCCAGTCAGCGCTGGAGGATCGGAGCAGGGAGGGGGGGAGGGAAACCCTGCTGGGAGCCTTGACTGACAGTCGCCACTCTCTGCAGGGAGATGATCGAGAAGTGAACGGTATGCGTTCGTTCACTTCCCGATCTATTGAGCCGACGTGTGACAGTTTCATTGTCACAGCTGGGCTTGAACTATGGGGGTGAGTGATTTTTACACTTCTCCTTTAATTCATAGTCCATTTACTTCTACAAGTTTTGGCCAAGTGCTGGCACAGAAGCAACCAACCCTTTGACCAACCCTTTGACTTCATCAAAGGAATACACATAATATTTTGTGTATGCAGTACAGCAGAACACTGTCAGGCTCTATAGAGAAACCACAGTATATTGTCAGTGACTGCAGGAATGCCACAGGAAATGGATAGAGACCTTAAGCATGGTGCAAGTATGGATTCAGTACAAGCTGCAAGAGATAATCAAAGATCGTGCACCTGCATACCAGACTGATAGGAATCACTGCCAATGCAGTAATTTACAAAACAGTGCTCCCTATAGGATCCTTACAAATTAAAGGACCACATGCAGCCCTCAGACCGTCAGTTGGGCACCAGGGACATAGAAAGTATGACATGTTGCCAGCTATTGTGGAAAAAGTTGCCTGGTAACGCATGACACCCGGTGGCTTTGTATAAAGTTTGCGACAAAGACACTTGATACCATTCTTAGCATTCAGAAAAACACAAGTTGCACTCTTCAAAGTAGACATTGTAATTCATTACAGTCATAACAAGTTCTGAATTTTGGGCTGCTATTATTTATTTCCCACATTCACCTGCACTGTCTGCCAGTTATCTTCCATGAGGTTGCCTTCACTGTGCACCAGTTGCTGCTTTTGCAAAGTCAGCATTATTGCATGTTATACAATTTCCAGCGTCTGAATGTATCTTTGCCAAAACTAATGACCCAAAAAGACCCAAGTGACTGAACTTATGACTGACAGAATCAGTGAAATCCATTACAATAGTGTCATGGCCAAAGCAAATAATTTGTGAACAGCTTACTTTGTGGAAAATACTTTCAAATTAACTCACTACAATAATTCAATAATCACACAGAAATTAAAGCAACAATAATGTATTGCTGTTGTTATTATTATTATGATTATTATTAGACTTGTGCGCTGTCAAAAAATGTGTTCTGTTTCGTTTCGGAATATCCGTTATTTCGTATTTCGTAAAGGACAAGTTGTATGTTTTAAAGAATGCAGCAAATATGAAATGGAGATGTTTTGTACATTTAAACATTCATTAAAAAACATTTCACATACATATTCTAACGTCAAAAAATTAGCAAAGAAAAGATGGGGCTTTTAGGGGCACCAGGCGGAAAGTACCAATAAATCACAAAATTGCTTGAGTAAAAATATAATTTTATTTAGATACAAAAAGTATAATAGAATGAAATGGCCGTCATAGCATAAGGTTAAAATCTATGGTGTATCATATTAGCAAAACCTCCAGCACCCACTCTGTTCCATGAATTATGGCATGATAAACATGATTACACAACATACAGACAAGTGCAGAGACCCTGGAAGTGTGCTGATCTCCTTCTGATCTAAGTGCAGAGACCCTGGAAGTGTGCTGATCTCATTCTGATCTAAGTGCAGAGACCCTGCAAGTGTGCTGATCTCCTTTTGATCTAAGTGCAGAGACCCTGGAAGTGTGCTGATCTCCTTCTGATCTAAGTGCAGAGACCCTGCAAGTGTGCTGATCTCCTTTTGATCTAAGTGCAGAGACCCTGGAAGTGTGCTGATCTCCTTCTGATCTAAGTGCAGAGACCCTGGAAGTGTGCTGATCTCATTCTGATCTAAGTGCAGAGACCCTGGAAGTGTGCTGATCTCCTTCTGATCTAAGTGCGGAGACCCTGGAAGTGTGCTGATCTCCTTCTGATCTAAGTGCAGAGACCCTGCAAGTGTGCTGATCTCCTTTTGATCTAAGTGCAGAGACCCTGGAAGTGTGCTGATCTCCTTCTGATCTAAGTGCAGAGACCCTGGAAGTGTGCTGATCTCCTTCTGATCTAAGTGCAGAGACCCTGGAAGTGTGCTGATCTCTTCTGATCTAAGTGCAGAGACCCTGCAAGTGTGCTGATCTCCTTTTGATCTAAGTGCAGAGACCCTGGAAGTGTGCTGATCTCCTTTTGATCTAAGTGCAGAGACCCTGGAAGTGTGCTGATCTCCTTCTGATCTAAGTGCAGAGACCCTGGAAGTGTGCTGATCTCATTCTGATCTAAGTGCAGAGACCCTGGAAGTGTGCTGATCTCCTTCTGATCTAAGTGCGGAGACCCTGGAAGTGTGCTGATCTCCTTCTGATCTAAGTGCAGAGACCCTGCAAGTGTGCTGATCTCCTTTTGATCTAAGTGCAGAGACCCTGGAAGTGTGCTGATCTCCTTCTGATCTAAGTGCAGAGACCCTGCAAGTGTGCTGATCTCCTTCTGATCTAAGTGCAGAGACCCTGGAAGTGTGCTGATCTCCTTCTGATCTAAGTGCAGAGACCCTGGAAGTGTGCTGATCTCCTTCTGATCTAAGTGCAGAGACCCTGGAAGTGTGCTGATCTCCTTCTGATCTAGGGTGCAAACTTCCCCACTACCATAGAAGCGATCGGGTGGCTCTATAGTCATCTGCTTGTATGTAACAGACATCACCTGCTGTAATGATGTTCTAAGTTTCAAAGCTGTTTAAAAAATGGCCACCCACCCTCAAATGCAAACTATCTGTCTGTTCAAATACAATGGCTGGACGGCAAGCAGTGCAGGAGACATTGTTGCCTTGACCAGTAATAGTGCCTGTGGAAAGGGACCCCCTCTTTCCATATCCCCCATCCCCTGCTCTACTGATGCTCACCGTGGCAGCCTTTAAAACACATCACTGCAGATGCAACTAAAATGCAATGTGATGTTTCATATTGCACCCTGAATATGAGTGTAACATGAAACACGGTCAGAAAAGTAAACTTGGCATTGAAATACTTGTAAGAACGCGGCAGCATTTCTTTTAGAGAGAAATTAAAAATATAATAATAACAAGGGAACAAATAATTATCATCTTTTTCACACTTACTGTGTCTGCTCTCTCTTGTCCTAAGGAAACGTCTGTCCGAGGTCTACTTGCACACTGAATTGCCTGTGTTTGTTCCTGAATTCAGGGTGAGAACAGCTCCGCCCATCATCTCCAGTTACTATTAAATCCTGTAACTATGTTCCAAATGTGCTTTTGCAATCCTTTTGCAGATTTTGCAATGCACAAACTAAATGTACAGAAATGTGGCAATACATTGGAGGTTACATAATACCAGTCCTAGCATTACAAGGTTCAGCGTTTACATTTTGTTTTGTTTTTCCGTTGACAGGAAAGTCCAAAGGTCTTTTGTCCTTCATACACCTACTCTACATTTTCTTTGCTATAATCTCCTCCCCCATATCAGATGTCCTACACACATTCCTTGTGTTTTCTTTTCTTGTCTATTCCAAGACCTTTTCGCTCCACTCTCTGATCCGTTCCCACCCACTAGACCCAGAATATATGTTAAGGACCAGCCTTACAGGCAACCATAGACTGTTATATTGTTATAGTTAGAAGATCTTTTACTGCACAAACTGACTATATTGGTTGTTGCTTAAAGCAACAACCAATATAGTCAGTTTGTGCAGTAAAAGATCTTCTACTCCCTCCCATCCCGAGGCCTTGTTCACACCGAAAGCATGTGCTATCCAGAGCGGTAGCTGCTGGAATGCACCGTGATCACTGAGAAACTTACCTTTTTTTTGCGCTATGTTTTGCGTTTGCAGTGGAGCGGAACGCTGGCAAAGTTTTGCCACGCGTCTGATCGCACTGTGGGCGTGGTGGTGTGGAAGCGGTGCATAGGGGGGCCTACGGCCGCGTAGTCCAATAGAGAAGGACGTGGGCTACGTACTAATCACACGCAGCACCTGTCCTTCCCGGGAGCTGCTTGGTACGGCCCAGCACGCAGCCCTTGAGCTGCACGCGCAGGCCGATTACAGTGTGAATGAGGGCTTAAAGCTTTTCCTGCTTGTTAATTTAGTGTTAACAGTGACTAATGGTCCTGGACCTTATTGCATACTTTACTAATCCTTCCTTCAGGCCAGAGCTCAGAACTCTCAGAGCTCAGGCTGAAAACAATTACTGAGTGCCGGAGCAGGAGCGGCTCTGCAATCTGCATCTGACAGAGATGCAGACCCTGTAGCTGTTCCCACAAGTCAGGTACGGCGTACCTGACTTGACAGCCGGCTGTGGGCCGAATGGTACCAGTTCGCGGGCCGGAATGGGTCATACTTTGAGACCCCTGGAGTAGAGGCTGTGCCGCCCCTCTATTCCTCCCATCCCGAGGCCATGGCAATCCAATCCAGCCCTGGTTATGATTCAAGGTACAACAAATGTTATGTTCTCAGGGAATCTGCAAGGTAAATTTCATAAGGTAGTTCTCAATGGCGGATGACATTTTGGGGGTGATTTACTAACCTAAACACACACACACACCAGGTGTGTGTGATTTTCACACAGCAAAACGTATTTATCAACCAAAAAGTCTCTAAAAGCATATTTCCACTAATGCCATATATGGAAAAATCATACACATGATGCATATATAATGCTGCTTCACAGTTTAGACAAAAATGGTTAGCTCATGCATTTACATTCCTTGCATTCATCAACGCAAGCAACACAACGTAGAGCTAATTTACCCAACATCACCTTGGAATTCCTTCAGGGCTTTGCACAACACACCTGCTGGGTGTGTACACATTACAAAGGTGTTTAGATTCCACCCATAGATCATGCTGGGAGGGAACACACTGCAGAGGTGTATACACGTTCGTGGTGTGTTTATAAGGTTAGTAAATCAACCCCTTTATCTCAGTCAGGCAGGTTTTCGGTAAAGCTTTTTGATGTTCTACTCTTCAATTATGCTGTATTGACTTTAAAGGAGAACTATGGGGTCAGGTATTTCCCCATAGTTCTCCTAAGGGTCATGGGAGAGCACAAATTAGCGTTCTCCCGTGACCCAAAACTCAGTATACCGCGAGCTACAGCTCGCGTCCGAGCTGACAGTCACGGCTCTCTGCAGGGATAGATAGAGAACTGAGCGAGCTACGGTATGTGTTCTATCACTTCCCGATCTATTGAGCTGACGTGTGACAGTTTCATTGTCACAGGTTGGCTCAGATTATGAGGCTGAGTGAAAATCACTCGCCTTATAATTCTCCTTTAAACAGATGATGTGTCTCCTTAATCTTACCGGGAGCATTTGTTTATGCCAACAGGAGCCAAGATTTATGTTTTATATGGGAGTTCTCAATAGTTATGTTAATTTGTTCTCTTTTGACAGATTTACAGTAAAGCTTTTTGACGTCCTCCGCTCAAATGGATCACATGCTGATGTGACTCCTTGCTTTTACTAGGAGCATTTGTTTAATGCCAACAGAAGCCTAAAAGTGTTTTTTTTATGTGAACCTTAAACTTTTTTGAAATTCTGTTTTGAATCAAAGTGTTTGCTACAACGACTATAAACATTTACCAGGAGCGGGGTTCAGACCCACGCGGATCTTAAGTCCAACGCCTTAACCACTCGGCTATCCTGGTCACCTTGCCTCGAAGATCAGTGTGCAGAAGTATTGCAGAACAGTAACAATCTCTTCCAAATGTGTATTTCATATTTTGATATCCATAAGGGCTTGTTCACACCAAGTGCGGAGGAGATGCAGAGCAGAGCAGTTACATAACGCATCAAAACTGCATCCAATGTATTCCAATGGTATTTTGGACTCACACCAGAGTGTTCAGTTCCAGAGCATGTGGAAAAACTGCAGCATGCCCTATTGTTTCTGCTCTGGAACACACCAAAACGCATCAAAAACGCATGCAAACACCACACTTGCTTACATGTTTCCAGTGGCATATCAGGGGTTGTCATTCCCTAGGGCAAGGCAAGAATTGCACCTCCTACGCCATGGACCGTTAGCATTCCCTGAGTCCCTTCTACCAGTACCATATAGAACTCCTTACCCCCAAGCACACGTCCACTGTAATATTTATTCATTACAGTGACATTATCTGCTTAAAGTCATATCAGTGTAACAATCATGAAATGATTCCCAAAAAATGAAAACTACATAGATATTCAGCTAGTGTATCTTTACTCCAACCCCTTACCACTCAGCCATCCTGGTCACTGCTGCCAGCAGAAGCCTACATTTTTGTTTTTATGTTGGATATGTTGGACTCAGCAATGTCACCAGTATGGCTGAGTGTTAAAGGAGAACTATGGGGTTAAAGCTTTTCCCCATAGTTCTCCTTTGGATAACGGAGGACACAAACTAGCGTCCTCCCGTCACCCTAGGCTCAGTATATCGCGAGCTGTAGCTCGCGATATACTCAGACGCCGCAGTATACCGCGAGCTGCTGCTCAGTAGATACCTCCCGATCTACTAAGCCGACCTGTGACAGTCTCATTGTCACAGGTCGGCTAGAACTATGAGGTGAGTGAAAAGCACCCGCCTCATAGTTCTCCTTTAAAGGCGTTGGACTTAAGAGTGATGATTATTTGTGTGGCTTTGAACCTTGCAAGTGTTTGTAGTGATATAAAAGGATCACCTACTTTTTTCCCATTCTGATACTCGGTTTGAACTTTTGCTGATTATCCTAACCATTTCTATATGTCTAAATGTATTGAGTTGCTGCCATCTGATTGGCTGATTAGATATTTGTGTGAACGAGCAGTTGAACAGGTGTACCATATAAAGTGGGAATATATTATATGGGGGTTCTCAAAAGCTGTTTTCACTTGTTCTCTTTTGACAGGTTTTCAGTAAAGATTTTTATGATGTTCTACGCTCATATGATTCATATGCTTTCATGAATATAAGATAATGTGACTTTATGATTTTACCAGGAGCATCTGTTGAATGTTATTAGAAGCTTAGATTTGTATCTTATGTGGTTTCCTCAGCCATCTTGGCATCTTGGACCCTTCGATTAAAAAGTCAGTTTGTAGCAGGATGGCAGCACACAAGTAATTTCCACCAAATGTATCTTTATTTCATACTGTGATGTCCAAAAAAACAACACTAAAGGTGCCCATACACTGCACGATTATCGTACGATAATCGTATGCGATCGGTTTTTCGTACGATAATCGAGCAGTGTGAACGGAGACGTGCGACCGTTTCTACTGTACGGTCGCACGTCTTCTGTCGAACCAGCATGTTCGAAAACCAGCCGGGAATCGTACGATTCTCGGCTGGTTAGAACGGTGCTCGGAAGATAAATGCTGAACGGGCCGGTGTGCGCACGCGCACACTGCCCGTTCAGCATTGCGGTCATCGGAAGCCCGCCCCTCAGGGGGGCGGGCTTGCGATGATCGAGAGTGCGATCTGCCTGTCCAAGATAGGCAGATCGTACGTTTTTTTAATCCCTTTACAACCATCGCAAGACTAAAGTCTTGCAATGGTTGTAGAGTGTATGGCCACCTTTACTTACATGTTTTAGCCCTAGGGGGCTTTGGTAATAGCATGCAGAAGAGGTCACCAGAGGAAAGAAGGTAAGCTTTCTCTGGGATGAACATTTTGCTTTGTAGGCAGACAATAGAAGGAGGGTAATGTCTGTCCCATATGAGTTTACCAATCAGCAAAACAAATATGCACCCAGTCTGTCTGGTTCTGCATGCAGCAGGGGCGGATCCAGAGTCTATTATCTGGAGGGGCACTGCCAGAAAACGGCCAGTATGCCCCCCCTACGGTCACCCGCCCTGCACGTCCGTACGAGCATACGAGTACGCTCACCCGCACCGATGTGC